CATGCATGAAAAGATAAACGAGGCCGACCGGATAAAGAATTTTCCAATATACCGGACGCGGCTTGTTTGCCTAGCTTTAGATACGGCTGATCGGCTGAAGGAGGTCGGAGATGTCGAAGAGGTTTCTTGGATCGAACGACTTCTTACAAAGCTGGGCAATGATATAAACTCCAGTTTTTCCAATATTCTCAACACGCACGATGGTGGTGGTCCGTCGGGGGCGGATCCGCGTGGTTCGTCTTTGGCATGAACTTGAATTTACGCCGTGAAGATAGCCAGGGAGTCGGGCGGGTTTATATGTTATGGTTTGGGTTATGATATCCGGTTTAAGCTGGCGTTTAGGATGAATTGAATAGGTACCTATCTATCAAATAAAAATGAAAATAAAGTATGTGCCAATAATAAGAGTAATGTTATGGTGTAAGTGTGAAATCTGAGTGTCTAGCTCGTAGTTTCTTTCCATTCATTTTGTCAATTCCTATATTCCCGAAGGTTCTGAGATTATTATATATGTATGTTCCCTCTGATGTAAATTTTCGTATACATATCCATCGATATTCATATCGAGAAACACCAGCACATGCTATATCCACTCATTATCATCCACCAAATATTATCACGAAAAAAAGCAAGGGTATCGTACAAGCCATCCATCCATCCTGCCTTCCACCAACCAAAAAGCAGCCGACAGGAAGCGCAAATCCTTTTCAAGGCTCATCCATCTCCATCCCATTAACAACCCTCAAAGCCCGTCTCGGGCCCAACACAACACTGATAAAATTCGGCTCCCGCCCATCCAACAGTGCCTCAGCCGAGCTCCCGCTCGCCGTGCTGCGCGTCGCGCTACTCTTCGACCTACTTACACCCCCTACCCCTCCACCACCATTACCAAAGCCGTAGTTATTCTCGTACCCCCACGCATACCGATCCTCACTCGGCCGCGGGCCCCCAGACCCCGAAGTCCCGGAACTGTGTTCCTCGCCGCGCTGGTTACCAGCCGTCCACTTTGGGCCGACCCAGCCGAAGTGCTCGTTCGTCCCGTCCGCCGGGTTGGTCTTGCGGAGTTTTTCGCGTAGACCAGCGGCTCCATTGAAGGGGCCGTTACCGTCAGCGAAGGGGTTATCATTGTCATCGGGAGCCGGAGTTACGCCGCCGGAGTACCGGTTCGCGACGAGCATGTGCCGTTTATAGGCCGCAACTTGCCGGCGGTAGAGCCACGCGCAGAAACCGAGGTATAGGGCTGCGAGGCCGGCTAGTCCTGCGATTACACCAGCTGTTATCAGGCCGCCGTTTGTGCCTGAAGGAGGCGGGGCGGAAGTGCCGGTGTTTACGCCAGTTGCGCTGGGGCGGTTGGTGATGGTCGCGGTGCTGCCTGCTTGCGTGATGGTGAACACCGGTGGCGTGCCGGTTTTAAATGGGCCGTCTGTCGCGGGTCCGGAGGCTGGTTGTGTCGCTGTTGCGCCGCCGTCTGAGGAGCCGCCTATGACGGATTGCACTACGTCGGGGACTTTGTAGCCGTAGCTACCGGCGAGGACGCTATTATCTGGGTGCGAGTCTGCGGGATGGTCTGCTGCATCAAAGGAATCCTTCCATTTTAAGCCTGAAGCGTCGAAGTTGTAGATGCCGGGACTGTCGCACGCGATTTCGGTGCCGACGTAGCCGCCGATTACGATCATTTGGCCATCCCGGGCAGCGCATTGGTGGCCGGCTCGAGCGGGTGGCTGCGTGTTGGTAGTGGTGTCGACTTTGATCCAGGTAAACGAGGGGACAGTTAGGATCCATATGTCCGTATATTGAGTTTGATTGCCAACCGGAAGCAAGTTTTGTCCACCATACATATAGATGTTGAACGAACTGGCATCGGAAGCCGAATAGATGACCGCGCACGGATTGACTCGTACCTGAGGTGCTTCGCCTGAAGTCTGTTGGTGGTACCAGATACTCGTCTTGATGTCGTAAACGTCGATCGTGCTCATGGAGGAAAATGCGTCAGTTGTGTCGTCGTTTCCGACAACTCCTCCACCGAGACCAAGCAGGATTCCATTGGGCCCCCAACCAGGAACATAGACAAGAACGCCATCAGCTCGTTCGCTAAAACCGTCTTGATTTTGAATACCGCCCCAGGTGATGTTGCGATAAGCTCCTCCGTTAGGTGCACCAGAAGAGCGGAGTGAGTCAACCCCCGAGTTCGCATAGCCAGGGTGCGTAAACTCAAGCAAGCTCTTTAGATAGACACGGCTGATCTGATCCGACCAACCCGGTGTAGTGGCCCAATCTAGATGACCACCAAAGTACCAGCTGATACCCAACTCGGGAACAGAAATTCCAGCTCCTTCCGCAGCGCGTTGTACTGGTACACCTTCGGGATCCGAATAGTTACCGGCAGATGTTTTAGGGTTCTCAAATTCAGACCATGTCGAAGAAGCAACGTCATACATCCATGTAGAAATTGGCGATGGTAGTGCCACAGGGGTATCGGAGAACTCGCCGCCATATAAGTATAAACGGTTTAAGTCGTTCCAGAGATAACCAAGTGACACAGCCGGAGGACCGGACGGTTGTGGGAGTCCTGTCAGAGCTGGGGAGCTGATATCCCATGACTTAGTAACATCAATGGCGATGAAATCGTTATCTAAGTGCATGTAAGCAAGAGTTCCCGTTGTTTCCTGGATGTTTTACCTACTCCATGTGTTTGATTCCTGATCGCCGGTTGTCTTCGATCGACCACCGTAATAATATATTGTCCCATTGATGAGAGCGCCTAGTTAAAGTCAATCTCTATCATACAAGAAGAGACTGCAGTATAGGCGCTTACTCTGGCCCGCCCACCTTGTGCAGACACTAGTAGGGCTATTCTGTCGGTCTTCGAGTATGACGGTATGGGGTAGTTTAGTCACGGCTGCGTCTGCGCCGCTAATCTCAATCTTCTTGCGGCCATTATTAAAACTAATAGTTGGAAGAACAATTGCGATAAGTAAAACGATCATTGTAAATGAATATCGCCCTGCGAAAGGGGGAGGTCGCGCACTGGAAGCTGTTTTGATCTTTGGGCGCCTTTTCGGTGCCAATTTGGACAACCACTTCGACTTTCCACCCGACGAATCTTCCCTATCAGAAGTCTTTTTCTCGATAGGTGACGCGATTTCCGAGGTCGATTCCATTCTTTCACTCGGTTCATTCGGTTCGTGGCTCTCGGAAGTCATGTCTTGGAGCTGTTGGTCTTGCTGGCCTTCGTCTTCTCCTTCAAAGAGTCCTACCTCGAAAAACATTGACTGCCGCCCTTCCCTAATCTTGTTAGCCATGGATAATGGCGGATCGTTAAGCTTTCTCTTAGCCGGTCTTCGGTGACTTGAGAGTTAAATCTCGGGCGTGTTGAAGCACTTTGTTGGCTTCCAGGATCAGAATTTCTGTGCGGACTTCTAGTAGAGGTCATGGCGAAACTGGTTCTGTGGTAGTATTGGTGATATGTATAGCTACGTAGGGGATCATTTGGAACTTCGCTTGTGGTGGATATCGCCACTCCATCCAAAATTGTGGCTATAGGAGGGGGGATGTCATCTTCATATATGAAATGAAGTCACATAGTAACTTCCAACGATTTTTAGAGGTTGTTGAGTTGCATAATCGTGACGGGAGGGCCAACGAGCCACGGCCAAGCACCAACTATAATCGATCGATATAATAAGCGTCACTAGGTAACGACTGGGTAATAATCGGTTGGACGCCACCCAGATGTAAATGAGTATGAGAGGGTGGTATGCTGGCGTATTAGCATGGGCTCTTGACTCTCTACATCATGAATATGGCTATTGATAACCATGATTGCATCAACTAGTAGCATTTGCTATAAGGAACGATCAAGAGCCGGTGGATTGAAGGGGGAAACTTGGAAACTTGCTGGATAGAAATCGGTAAGCATGCTGTCGCTCATTTCCGTTTCTGGCCAGGAACCGGCGGCTTGTCCCAAGCGATTGGTTCTGGGAAAATGGGGCGACCAGGGGTCGTTAATCATGACGACACACTCCGAGATCCAGTCGATCTGATTGAAGTCCGGACTCCGAGGCGTAGACGTAGAGGTGTGAAAGGAAGTCGCTTGTGTATGGTGAGGAGGGTTTGCTCCTGGTTGCATTCATTATTTTTATTAATCCTATACCTTCGAATCCTCCAGTATTGACACATGAATTTGTGGTAAAGATGTAGATCGAAGAGCCAACAAGAGACTTGACCGTTCATAGGTCTATACGGTTGAGGAGGCCTCTTTTATGTGTAACCGTGGCGCTGGGATGACCCAAATCAAATTAATTCAGTGATAGAAACAACTGGTGTAGCTTCTCCGAAATGTATTTTGAGCGGCTGGGGCAACCATGAATATCGGAAGATGTCTATAAACGACTCCTTCAAATACCTACTAGGCAGTAGTTAACAGGATGGGGTTCTTATCCCTTTTCAGGAGAGGTTATACTGGTAGGCTTCTCAATGAGTGGAAGATTTCGAATATTATCAGTCTCGCCCATATCCACCATGGCAGACAAAATTACAAGCCAACTTGAAAGGGGTTGGCTTTCTGCAGCATGACTACAGAGAACAATTCGTAGTGGTATATCCATTGACATGATGCGACGAGTAGACGATACGTCGAGCTGGAAATGCGGACCCGCAGTCGGTAGTACTACCAAAAAGACAATCACGGTCGGGGATAACAATAGTGAAGATCTAATGATTTAGTTTTTAAATCAGATCAAGCTCCATAGCTGTAATCTCGTGGCATAATGCGCCGATTTTTGATATTGTTATCGTTGTTGTGGTTGTTACCGTCATTCAATCCCCAACATCTCCAAAGTTTCGACTCAGATACTCAGTTGACTCGGTTGTGTCAATCACGGTCGCGACTTCCACTTTGTGGAGTAAAAATATTTAAGTTGATAAATTTATAGATTCTAAAGAGTAAAAAGACCAAAGTTGTTTTTTAAAGCAAAAATATTGCAAAAAGCGAAGGTAAATGCCCCCACACCGGATTGAACGATGGACCTCAGCATTAGCAATTTGTAACTATTCAAGAATAACCCTGAACAAGATGACAGTACGAGTGCTGCGCTCTACCACTGAGCTATAAGGGCTATTTTTTGCTGCCATCATTTACTGAGGCTGCTACCATTGGTCAAAGGATCGGGAAAAGGCGACTATAAGCACATTGGTAAATTGTGGAGTAAACTAGGGTGTAATAGGTTGTATTTTGTGAGGGCGCTAATCATTTTGCGCAGGTAGTCTCGTTAGTCTTGTTAGTATTGATACCTAAGAAAGGATAAATGGGAAGCTGTTTTAGTTACTTTGATTACAGCATCTAAACCGATTGCCGAATTTCAGCCCTGGAGGTTACCTTGGCAAGCCAATGTAGACTGGATGGTGGAAGAGCTAGTGTAACGAGATAGCTTCAAACGACACTCTAGTCCATGGATGTTCATGTCCTGAGCATGAATCTTGAAAATGATTGAAATGACTGAAGCTGTCTCATAAAGTCCTCGGAACATCACGAAAACTTCTTATCGTGCAGTAAAGTTAAGTTCTTATTAGCTTCGGCTTAATATCCTTAAGCGTTATTATGTAATCTAGTTTAGGGGTCTCATCGGGAGCTACCCAGTTAGAAAAAAGGCAAATCGCGTGAACCAATGTGCCTGACGGCTACGCTAGATAACTAGAATGATAGCCATATCGTGCTATTACTAGATATCTATCAAAACTAGCCCTTTTTCTTTTTGTCTTGTGTCGTGATTTCTGTGTGGACTTCTCTAGAGTTATCGTTCAAGCGTGACTGACTTCTTAAAAGAGAAAACTAACAATTCCACAGCATGGGTTTGAGTCAGCTCACCCGGATGCCCGGACAACCCGATGGGAATAATATCTGAAAACTTGTTGGACTAAGCCAAACTAAAAACGATTGGTGTACTTTTTGCTAACGTGAACGTCATCCGACGCCTCATCCGCCCTGCCACGTTCCGAATTGAGTTCCCCAGTTCAAGGATGTTCAGACCGTTCAGGGGATTCCGCTCAAATGATAAGCATACGGGATATCTGATTGGATCCGCTGTAGCGGATTTAGGAACGTTCCATCGAGCCACAAATTTTTCCATTATCTCGACCTTATAGCACTATTCGAGAACCAGTAAGATTTGCGGGCTCGTTTATTCGGACTAGATGCTAGTGTATGATATGTGGGATAAATGTAGGGTACCTTAAATCTCGCGCATCGCGCTCAGCCTTAGAGTATTATTCAATCAAAAATCTTTCCGATCATTTCAACGGGATGGTGAACGATTCCCAAGCTGTCCTCTCGACGGAGGAGAAGGGTCAGCCGCAGCCGACGATGACCACCCCCAACACAGGAGTAGATGTAGCTCTATCTGCGCTCCAAAAAGTTGAAGCCGGTAGCGCGTCTCATCCTATTCACTGGAACCCCGTGAAAAAATGGGCTGTCATCGCCGTCTACTGTTTGCTTCAAACCTTCATCGCCCTCTCAACCACGACCTATGTCAGCGCCGAGTTCCTCGTTCAGGAGAAGTACGGAGGGTCGACCCAGGTCATAGCCCTTGGTCAATCTATGTTCATCGTGGGAACCGCAGTTGGGCCAGCCTTTTTGGGTCCTTTATCGTACGTAATCCCGGACATTGCCGGCTTTAACAGCCACACGATTTGCTAGAGCTAAGTGATTATTACTCTATAGTGACATAGGAGGACGGAAATGGGTCTATGTGGGATCTATCGGAATCTATGCGATTTTGAACATTGGCACTGCGTTGGCGCGCAATTTGCCGATGCTCATTATTTTTCAATTCCTCTGTGGAACTGCCGGAAGCACGGCTCTCTCTAACGTGGCTGGCACTATCGCCGACCTTTTTGGCGATATGGACGGAGCTGCTCAGCCCATGGCATTATTCGTTATGAGTGCCAATTATGGCCCGAGTATAGGCTCCCCTATCGGAGAACTAATCGCGGAAAATGAGAAGCTAGGATTGCCATGGATTTTCTGGATCAAGTAAGTTCGGCCCCCAAGTTAGAAGTCGACGATTTTTAACCTAAGCAGTGTTATCATCGGAGGCGGTTTTGCTATTATCATGTGCTTCGTCCCCGAGACACTCCCACGGGTTGTAATAAGCAACGCGGCAAAGAAAAATAAGTCGTCAGACCCGACGGAAGTGGCCATTGTAGAAGAACATGTAGATGTCCTCCGAGAGATGCGATTCGTTACATCGATGGCTTTCCGTATCATGCTGACTGAGCCGATTGTCACATTCCTCGGTATCTATAACGGATTCGCCTACGGATTGCTCTTCCTGTACCTAGATGGAGTATTTGACGTATTTGCCGTCAATAACGGGTTGTCGTAAGTGCCGCTTTATCTTTTTTCATGGGAGCATTGATCTAATAAGATTAGATATATTGATGCCGATCTCACGTATCTCAACTTTGTCGTCAGCGTCACTGTCATGTTCGCTTTCATCCCGGTCCAGACATGGTTCTACAAGCGCGACAGGAAGAATAATGGCGGTGTTGGTCGACCGGAAGCCAGGTTCCTGACTTCGCTACTGTTTGTTTGGGGTTTCCCGATATCTCTTCTGTGGTTTGCCTTCACCAGCGACGGCAGCGTTTCGTATTGGTCCCCCGTTGTGGCTGGTGGCTTATTGGGCTTTTGTGACCCTCTTCTTTGGCTTGCAATGCTTAACTACATTGCTGATTCGTACACCAACGTTGCTGGGTCGGCGATAGCAGCCTTCTTAATACCATCTTTTCTGATTGCGGCTGGCTGCTGCCATATCGGTGAGTGTTTCTCCTCAGAAGTTTTGCCAGAAGTGAATCTAACGTTGGGTACTCTAGGAATCGTCATGTTTGAGAACTTAAGCACCAAATGGGCGATGGCCATATTAGGGTTCGTTTCATTTAGCCTTGTTGCATTGGTTTATGTCTTATACTTTTTTGGTCCGCGAATTCGATCTTGGTCGAAGTTAGCGAGGAAGTGATAGAACTCGACATCATAGATATTATAAACCTGAATATCACGGTGTTTGGCCGGATGATGTCTATATCTTGGCGATTGATGTTAGAATTGGCATTTTACCATTTTACTAGACGCTGGGCATTTGGGGTAACTTCAACTGCCAAGATAATTACAAGCCTATCACGTGACAAAGGAGTAATCTACCGGCGTCTAGTCTTAGTGACAGCTAGAGACAGCTGGCAGCCATTTTTACTTTCGCTGCCATATTGCAGCGTATAATATGAATGCACCTATTCCAAAGTTATTAAGAATTCAATTGTTGTTTTACAGTATATTGATTAAAGGCTTGAATGATATATTGATTGAGAGATAATTGATTAAAAACAACGCCTATTCCAAATTTGTTGACAAAATATCGTTTCTTTTCTTACTCTTCCAATGTTGAGGAATTGCACAGGTGATTCCACTTGTCTTTGGAACAGACAATTTCTGTTCTGTTCTGGATAGGTAGTTAAGCACGAAATTTGACCATGAAAATAAATATAGTCCTGTGATATAAGGGTCTACTATTGATTTCTTCAGGGCTGGCCTAGATCTGCCCAGGCAGATACAGGGCCAAATTGCTAAGCCCTATGCAGCCTGGAACGTCGCTTAGATTCTAGTCCAGTTACTAGCCTAGACCTCCAGGGCTAACATGGGTGCTGAAAGCCGTAGGCGAGATTTTCTCGAACCATGAATCTAATTTAGGCAACAATAGAGTCTAATTGGCGTCGGTCTTTTGCTAGTATAGCGTGCTTGGCTCCAGGGCTGCCTCTAATCTCTATCAAGTCGAGCCGTCAGCGAGTCTTTTCGAATCGTGAGATCGATCACTTGATGTGAAATACGTGCTTATGTGCAGAACACGCTGTAGACTCTCGTACTTACGCAGTCATATCGACTCTTATTACCTCTATAGGTTTTATAGAGAAAGGAAAGGGGGAAAAGTGAGTACTGCTGCGCCGCAGATGCCTTGGAAATTTTTGAGTCACTGAATGGAAATGAGATCCGCTAATGGCAACTTTGCCCCGTGGGCGCGAAGGGTCTTTCAGACGAAGACCGGGGTAGAAAAGGCTTAGCTTTCACCTATTTTCCATAAAATCTGACGATAGCCTCCCCTTTTGATTTACCCTTCTTTTCTCGTCGATCCCTTCCTGTGTTGTATCCACCAGGTCGTCGCTCGTTAATACTGACCGCATATCTTCAACTTCAAGTCATTCGCTTTTTGCTTTATATACTTTATTAATAATAACAAGACAAATTTGCCTTCATACTCATTTTACCAAATTCCGAGTCAACGAAGCAGGAGAGATCAATTACGAATATATATACCATCGCAAAAATGGCTTCAAATGGGGTATCGCAACCGGTGGCTGAGGCGAGGAACGATGAAATTTCGCCTGTGGATAATTCAACGAGTGCAGGTCGGGAGAGCGTACCTACGACCATTCAAGCGCCTCCCGCTGCGCGTCAGCAACCAAACCAACTCCCTTATGCGCCGTACCAATACCCACCACAGCCATACTATACCCAGCCTGTTCGCCTTCTTCCTCAGTATTCGAAACCCTGGACTTATAGCAAGCTCGCGCTCACGCTTTCTCTCGTCATTATCGCTATCATAGTCATGGCTCTTGGCTGTGTCTTCGTTACCGAAACCACCTACGAGGACTGGGTCTCCGCGTATGCACTTCCAATCAGCATCGCCTCGATCCTATGGAATGGCGCTGAGCTCATCACCTTCGCGGTACGCTCGCGCAAGGACGAGAAGCGCGGTATCCACCCTGGCGCGCATGTCGGTCTGCATTTATGTTTTTGGATTGCCTGCGTGTTCGCCGCACTGCTGTCCATCACCGAGATCATCGTCATAAGTTCGGACCTGAGAGATTGCGAGGAGGAAAAGAATAGCAGATACTCGTACTACAGCTATTGCGAAGATTACGATAACATCGATATGAACGGACGATTCCTTCCGATGATGCGCGCGTTAGCTGCGTTCTTCTGCTTGATGGTGCTTATCCACTTTATCTTATTTGTGTTTGCTTGCATCGACACGCACAAGCGCAATCTTATGAAGCCTGCTGGAATGATCGT